GGCAGAATTGCTGAATGACTTATTTTGTTTGTTTTTTCACCAACACGTTTATTAGCAATTGGACATCTAACATAGTGAACGCCAGTTAAAATGAAGTAGGATCAGAGGCTAAAATAGAGAAAGAACAAGTTAAAAATTACTTAGACAAGTTAGATGTCTTCAAGTTACCAGGAATTAAATACATCCTAGAATACTCAAGGAGCTGACTGAGGAGATATCTGAGCCATTAGCAATTGTCTTTGAAAAGTCGTCAAAGAAGGGATAGATTCCAGAGGACTGGAAAAGGGAAAATGCAATGCCCATCTATAAAAAGGGGAATAAGGACAACCTGTGGAATTATAGACCAGTCAGATTAATTTCAGCACATGGAAAGATGGGGGGCAAATAATTAAGCAATCAATTTCCAAAAACCTAGAAGATAATAAGGTGATAAGTAACAGTCAGCATGGATTTGTCTAGAACAATTGTCAAACCAACCTAATAGCTTTCTTTGACCGGTAACTTGGGGAAAGCGGTAGATCTGGTATCTCTTGACTTTAGTAAGGCTTTTTATACTGTCTCACATGACCTTCTCATAAACAAACTAGGGAAATACAACCTAGATGGAGCTACTATAAGGTGAGTGAATAACTGGTTGGAAAACTGTTCCCAAAGAGTAGTTATCAGTGGATCAGTTAAGCTGAAAAGGCATATCTAGTGGGATCCTGCAGGAATTGTCCTGGGTCCAGTTCTGTTCAATATGTTCATCAGTGATTCAGATAATGGTATAGAGAGTACACTTATAAAGTTTTCAGATCATACCAAGCTGGGAGGGACTGCAAGTCCTTTGGAGGATAGGATTAAAATTCAAAATGATCTGGATAAATTGGAGAGATGGTCTGAAGTGAATAGGATGAAATTCAATAAGGACAAATGCAAAGTACTACACTTGGGAAGGAACAATCGATTGCACACATACAAAATGGGAAATGACTGCCTAGGAAGGAGTACTACGGAAAGGGAGCTGGGCGTGATAGTGGATCACAAGCTAACTATGAGTCAACAGTGTAATGCTGTTGCAAAAAAAGTGAACATCGTTCTGGGATGTATTGGCAGGAGTGCTATAAGCAAGACACAAGAACTACTTCTTGCATTCTATTCTGTGCTGATTAGGCCTCAACTGGAATATTGTGTCCAGTTCTGGGCACCACATTTCGGAAAGATGTGGACAAACTGGAGAATGTCTGGACAAGAATGACAAAAATAATTAAAGGTCTAGAAAACATGACCTATGAGGGAAGATTGAAAAAATTGTTTTTTTTTTCCAGTCTGGAGAAGAGAAGACTGAGGGGGGACATGATAATAGTTTTCAAGTACATAAAAGGTAGTTACAAGGAGGAGGGAGGAAAAATTGTTCTTAACTTCTCAGGATAGGACAAGAAGCAATGGGCTTAAATTGCAGCAAGGGAGGTTTAGGTTGGACATTAAGAAAAACTTAACTGTCAGGGTGGTTAAGCACTGTAATTGCCTATGGAGGTTGTGGAGTCTCTATCTTACCTGCTCTTAAAATTACCAATGATAAACACCTGCCAGGGATGGTCTAGTAATACTTAATCCTGCCATGAGTGCAGGGGACTGGACTAGAAGACCTCTTGAGGTCCCTTCCAGTTCTATGATATATATAAATATATACCAGCTATACGTAGTGAGGAAACCTGTGCAGTCAGTAGTGGCTCTTAAATCTCTTTCTTTACTCTCACAAATGGATTTAGTTAGATGGGACAGTAGCTCATAAGTGATCGCTTATACTGTAGTTAGGCTTCTGTTGAAGCACTTCGCATTTGAAAAAAAAGAGATTCCAGAGCTGTGTGTCAGATCCATGTCCAGCTGTGCTGCTACAGGGTTTTTAGAGTCTGGTTTTTGGGAGGTACCGAGCAACCAGGACTCCAAAGAAAGTTGATGTGAACTGTGGATGCCCAGCTTCCTTGAAAATCAGGATCTCACTGTTTTTAGGCTTGATTCTGCTCCCCTTGAAAGAGGTTTTCCATTGACTTAAATGAGAGTGAGACTGGCCCCTTAAAAATTAAAAGGATGGCAATGTTCTACCAGTGCTGACAAATAGGGCTAAATGGTGTTCTGAGCTGTGGGTGACCGTGCCTTCGGACAGTCAATGTAAACAAACTGTCTCGTGGCCCGCAAGTGGATTACCCTGACAGGCTATGTGTGGGCCACAGGTTGCCCACCACTGGCTTAAGCACATGCTTAAGTCCCATCAAATTCAAGGGGTTTAAGTAAGCGCATGCTTACACCGAAGCATATGATTATGGGCTAAATGAATAAAATAAGGCAGGGCTTTAGGCCCTGATTCATATCTTGCCGTTGACACAGTTTTTGAATCAGAACTTTGTTTACTTTCACTGGCAAAGCGTACTCAAAGCTCATGTGGCTGAAGACACACTCCCATGAGCTAGGGCTGCAGAACAGGGTTACTCTGTTGTCCAAGCCTCCTGATTTGGTTTAAAGGAATAATAGCAGCAGAATTGCAAATAGGTCTAAAATTTATTTCTTTAATTCACATATCACATCACTGAGAGAACTTCTTGTTTTGAACAACTGCAGAGTTTATTAATTTATAAAACCAGGTCAAAGTGATAGAGCAAGTACATAAATAAGTACCACATCAGGCATATGTCCTGTGAAGACGGTGAAAAACATGATATTGTGTATTTTATTGTCTTAAGTGACCAGAGACTGTAAAAATGCAGAACTTCATTTTCTAAATGGTGCTTATATTGTTTTGTTTTCATAAAAGTTTATTATACAAATAAATACACAATTTGAACCCCACTTGTTCTGTCACAAACACAAGACTGTTTGTCTTCCAAAAAAACAACACAAACACTGTACACTTTCCACAGAATCTTTGTTCAATCAGCTACTGCTACAACCATACTGTACCAAGAGGTGAGCCAAACATAGCCAGGTGTTTGTCTGCCTACCAGAATACTATGACGCCTCAGAATGCCTTCCATTATGTCTTCATCAGAGGTATGTTCATGTTAATACATGCATTATTAGTGGACTTATAATAAAAAAAAATTACATTTCTAAAGTGCCTTCCAATCCAAAGGATCCCAAAGTGTGTTACAAACCGCTGCTCCCACAACTACACTGCGTGGCACCCACTTCTGATGTGGAACATACAGCTGTTTAATAGTGCACAGGCGTGCTATGCCACAATTTTGGACAGAAGGTGAATACGACACCCATTTTAAACACAAAAGAGAATTTAGAGAGGCAAAGTCTCATTACCGAATTTGGCTTGGACACTGGAGTTAACTTTCTCTCTTATGAGAACTGCCCTAGGATCATTTATAGGACCATGCAAGGACTGTCGGGTGCTTTGTCTGGTTTCTAAATGATTTTACTCACATCACAAGAATTATTTTGTTCTTAGCAATCAAACTGGCTGCTGAAGAAGCTCACTTCTGGCACACTATCCTGTTATGTGTTTTAGGCCACTTTGGGCACTGGCAGAGAAGGAAGTGCACTAAAAAATAATCTGTTCTCTATCCTGGCATGGAGGATAGCTTGCTCTTTGCAGGCAGGACCATGAAGAATTTCTGTGTAGGAAATCCTGGATTTTCTTTTCATCCTTATATCCTAACTTAGTCTCCCTTTTCCTTCCTATCACATTCCCATCTCCTTGCTTTTAGTCAATGCCCCTTTCCATATATTCCTGCTGGATATTGCAAGAAACCCTGGCAGGGATGGATCCTGTGCCACTGAAAAAGCAGTAAAAGGGGGTTGCCTCTTACAACCACAGCTGCTATCAGGGAGCGGTGCAAAGAGATCACGGCTGTGAATAAGACCCTACTAAAAGGTTTAATATTTCTTCTGCTGGAGCCTGAGTTGGGCCACTGGTATTAAGTACTGAACATCCATACCCCTTAACCTCTTTGTTAAGATGTATATACCCCAGATGAAGACCTAGAGTGCCATCACTGGAAATACAGTGCGGAGCAGAGAGCACAAGTTTTGCAAAGTCCCATGGAGGCCTCTGAATTCTGGCCACCACCATTTATTTCACTCCCTTTGAGGACAAAGTGCCTGGCTCGAGGCAACTTCTTTAGAACTTCATTGCTGTTCAAGCACAAAAGGAAATGTTCTCATATGCTTCTGGAATAGAAAATGGAGGGAAAGCAGCCACAGTCACTTGTGCCTCAGGAGTGAATCTAAGATGGTGTCCATGTGGCAGGATTTCCTCAGAGAAAGCCATGTTTTCAAAGTAATGGCCTTGTATATCAGAACAGAACTCTTTTCTGAAGGCAGACACTGGACAGACACTAACATTCAGCTGTGAACTGCAAATCAGAATGAGTGCCTTAGATTTCTTTTTGCATGAAGATAATGGTCTTGCTGGTGCTGCACTAACTTAATGGCTTTATATAAGTGCTCATTAGTTTGCCATTGGAGAGAGTTGTCCTTGAAGTTATGCTTATTAGTTTGCTGGGGCTTGAGAGGCCACCAATTAGAACCACGCAGAACACTCTTATTGCGACAATTACCATTAATAAATTAAGCGATATCACAAGACATTTAATGAGTTATTAATCACTGTGGGTTTAACCCTATAGGAATTTTCATAAATGATTCAAGTACTTTGCATTCTCCTGCTATGTTACTTTGTAAAGGGAGTTTATTGACCGAGGCTATGTGTTAACAGGGCCCATGAGAATGCAGTAGTGGGGCGGCATGAGGGAGCTGACGTTTCATATTTCATGTAGAGAAGTGGATAATGGAAACCAAGTGAAAACCACTTAAAAGTTGAATGTTTTCTCAAATTGCTACATAAATGCAGTAATTCCCACTAACACCTTCTGGTTTGTTTATGTACTCAGAGTTTGTTCAACTGCAAGACATCGTCCCAAAAGCAGTAGGCTGGTTGGGAGTTTTCATTTAAATCTGGATTTTATGGCTCAAACACAAGTACTGTATCACTTGTATTCCCACCCCCCCACCCTAGAAAAACATGAGTCATTTCAACACCAGAAGTGGTATAAACTCAGCACAGGAAATAATGCTCTCCATAGCTCCTGCACAGTTATTAGGTGTCCTTCATTTCATTAGTTTGAGTAACTTGCCAAGTTTAAAAAAAAAAATCTGTTTTCTTTTTTAACTTTTCAATTTTACAAGGAACTACAGTCTCCCTCTCCCTTTCCCCCACCAATACGGAGCCTCCTAGTCTTTTTGAGGAGATATTTAAATGGTTGACACAGACCACTACACATAAAGCAGCAAGTTTGCTGTGCATGATGTGAATAATTACTGCATTATAGTTTTGGATTTTAGGGCAACTGTTGACTTAAGCAAAATAAGCCTGCAGTCCAGCTGCAGATCCAAGTTTTCTCCCTCCCGTGCTGTCTCCCTTAACAGTGACCCTTTTCAGGCTTTTCGAGGTACAAAACCTTTACCAGATCCTCCAGCTCAGTCCTGCACACTCTGCTTTCACACATTTGGCTGATCTGAGCTTCTCCCTCGCTAAATATTTTCCACTGGCCTGAAAACAAAAATACAAAGCAGAAAGACACTGACTTAGACCGAATGCAAGGAGCTTTAGAGTCCCTTACAAGCACTAGCCAGACAAACACATTCAAATTGTTGATAGGGAGAATTAAAATATTTTCCTTTGGAAGGTTTGAAAATATCTCAATCACTTAATACATTGCATGCAAAAGAACATGAAGGGCCAGATTTTGATTGGGGGAGGGGGGAAGCTTTAGTTTGTAGCTGGGAAGGCCCTGGCTTGTAATTGCGGCATACTCTCAAGAGTAATTCTTTCAACAGCTGCTGTTGCCCTGCAATAGTGGAAGTCTAAGCATAACAGCAACTTGCTAGTGCAGAAGAACTGGAGAATAAAACTGACCATTAACAAGTGAAATTGGGAGGCCAAGTTCTGTAGCCCAAGCTGGGTGAAATACAAACTATAAATTGCACTAGTGGTGAAAAATGAATTTGGGTTTTTTAAACAGTCAGTTTTTAATAATCCAAGGTGTTACTAGGGAGTTCAGAAAGGCATCTTTTAAATATGATTTATGTGAAAGTAACCCTCTAATCATATGTTGTATTCTGATTATTTTATTTGATACTCATAAACTATCGATTCCAGATGTTGGTGGGAAAGTAGCACATTTATTTCAATTGGAGGAGTCATGCAGGGCATGTTTCAGTCTGAGGTTATATAGAAAAGTGGAGCCTAAGAAGACCAGACTTTTACTTACTCAGTGTTGTCCTTGTTATCTGCTTGAAGTAGGGAAGTTCTTCAAATTCACTTTTGGATATCTTCTCAGTGTGGAAGTGATGTAGAATCCCTGTAGCAAAGCAGTAAGAACATGTAGTTGGAACAAATTTTCCCTGTTCTGAGCCTGTTGTGTTGTTGTGATTGTTTGTTGAATTACTGGCATGTTGAGCCACATTATGAAATCGTCTTTACCAACAATGTTTTAACCGATTCCATGTGCTCCATCAGTATTTTTCTTTTGTGGTTTTATGGTGGTGGAGAGTATCACCGAGATCTGAGAGTTAGTTCTTCCTTTACCCATATAACTACAGCCCTCCCTAGCATGAATGAGAGAGGACCAGAGCAGAGGCCAAAATCCCAATGCCTTGGAGAAAAGCCGTTTGGCATGCTGACATCGGACATTGTCTTTTACCTAACTGCAGGCAGCCAGCAGGAAATGCTCCTGCCAAACCACCAGAAGGGTTTGTGTCTTACTGGGAGCATAGTAGGACCCTGTATTAACGACCAGCCCTTCAGAGAGATGTTCATAGATCATGATCTGGGTAACTTTCAGGGTAGTTTGCCCTTTAATATGATCTCAACTTATGAAGCGTTTATATTTATTTATTTATTTTTAAAAGGTAGAGACTAAAGCTACTAAGTTGACACTGATGGTCTCAAAGCAATCTGTACACAAGCCTCGCAATGCCCCCGTGAACTAAGTAGATCCTAATTTTACAGATCTGTTAAAGCGAAGTACAAAAAGATTGAATGATTTGCCGGCGGTCACACTGTGTGAGTCAGTGGCTGAGTCAGGATTAGAACCCAGGCGCCTTGACTCCTGTGTGTGCCTATTTACTTGCTCTGACTGCGTGACAACATTCCCAGCTAAAGAGAGACTACAAACAAGTGAAAGTCAAGCTACTTTAATATTTAGCATGTGGACTAAGGCATTCTGAGACACAGTGTCATCACTTAGTAAATGCCTTCATGTAAAGGGCCTTTGAGAAGATAGCGAACATAATTCTTAAGGGAAAGAGTTGGTTGTAGGAGATGAAGAGAAAAATAACATTGCCTCTCTTTATATACTGAATAACGCATCTGTTTACACCCACACTTTTGGCATTTCCCTTTTTGGGTCCCCACTTGTATTTTTAATTAAACTGAAATAATATACATTTTGTAGCTCCACTCTTCCCAAAGATTCCTTAAGGGTTTTTTCTTTCAGTAAGGAATCACTTTGCCCACTTCGAAACGCAGCCTCCTCAGAGATCAATACGCTTTTTAGGATACATTGTGAAACACATACTCTTATAGTACATAGCAATATTACACAAGTTCAGATTCAACATAGAGTCCAAGAACTGTAGGGAAGTTTGGCATTTGTTTGAGATCTAGCTTCTAGATCTATAAAATCAAGGAGACCAGTCAATTAGCTAAAGTAAAAGCTCAGGCTTTATTCATTTGCAGCACATACAACACTGATCATCTGAAGGGGTAGGAACATCTAAACCCTTCAGATATTCAGGAGTCTGGACAACTGAAGGGACTGGCCTGAAAGGGTTGGAAGTCTGTGCTCAGGGTTAAGACTAGAGCTGGTCATAACATAGATTCTTTTCCCTTCCACAGAAAATGAGTTTTCTGTGAAAAATCAAAATCTAAAATGTTTTGGCCAAAACCTGAATAATTTTGATTCTGCAGCACTGCTATGGTCGGGATGCTGGAACAAATTGTATTGTGGGGATGCTGAGAGCCATTGAACCAAACTGTAAACCCTGTATATAACGGAGACCACTTCAAGCCAGGGGGTGCAGGAGCACCCCCAGCACCTCCAGCTCCAGCACCTACGGCTATGGTGCCTCATGGGAGTTGTAATCTGGGAGCTGTGTGCTCCTGTTCCCCGCAATAGGCCAGGCTCACAGGTTGGCCTCCATCTCCCATGATGCACCACAGTCTCCCTCCTGCCCCCCCTCCATAGGATGGTGGCATTGAACTGGCTAGTGTGTGCTACTGCCCTCTATGGGCCAAAATCAGAACTGCTCAAATGCATATGATAGACCCCATACTGCTAATAACAAGGGAGTTTGGCACAAGCATTAGCAATTTGTGCTTTTGTAGTAGGAGGACTGGAGTTCTATCTCTGCTACCAGGGAAGTGCCAAATGCCCCAACGTAAAGAATTGGAACAGCTATAAAGTCCTGAGTGGCAAGAATTTATAGATCTTTCCTGAGGTTATAAAAAGAAAAAAAGCACTATTTTAAGAGAGAACTTGATCTACTTACCTTTCCGAATTGTCCACACATGTATTTCTATTTGAGGTGGCTTTTCTGTTTCCATTGCGATTTTTCTAATGGTTTCTTCTTCCTCCATGAAAACAGATTCATAGACAGGAAGCATCTCTTCACCGCAAAAGTAATCTTTGCTGTCAAAGCTCTGACTTGGCATCTCTTCTGTAAGCAAAACATGACACAGCTTTAATAATGTTCCTTGGACCTTACTAGATTCATGCTGCCCAACAAGTTCAGCTTAATTGTAGAGAGTTCCTCTGAAGTGGTCTTTCAAGTCCTTCTCCAACTGAGTCCAGACTACTTAGTGAAATTCTGTTTTGCTCTCCCTTTTTAATGCTCAGACCTGGTAACAATAAAACAATTTGGATTTTTATTTAGTATGTTTTATCTTACCACATACAAATCAGACTTCGAGAAAAGATCCTGCTTTTTTTGATGGCTGTGGGTGAACTTCAGGAGTTAGAGACTGATCTGAAATCTAGATAACAAATGATTTTCTTCTATAGCACTTGCATCCCAGGTTCTTAGCCAGATTTTTCTGAGTGCCCTCATCTTCCATTGACTTCAAGAGGAGTTGTGGATGCTCAGCATGTCTACATGTCAGGCTCTCACAACTTCAGTTATTAACTGAATTAAGCCTCACAACCCTCCTGTGACATAAAGTATCATCCCCTTTTTACACGTAAGATGATTGAGACACAGGGCAGTTAAATGAGTCTCCTTCCATCACATGAGTCAGGGACACAGCTGGGACTTGAACTTAGCTTTCCTGTCTCCTAGTGCACTGAACCAGGCTCCCTTCTAATTAGCATTGCTAACAGGTGCTTTGTGAGTGACTTATGCATTTGGCTCTGACACTTGTTTTCTCAGAGCATTTCTGCCAGTGCGTCATAGAACTAAACACAAAAAAGGGGTTAAATGTGTTGTGGGAAAATTTTAAAGGTACAGATGGGGGTTAGACACCTAGCAAAACGTCATAAGAGAGGTTAGCAAATTTCTAAGTAGTTTGTTTGCTTTTCTTTACACATTTTTACTAATATCCTACAACAAGCTAATCAAGTGATTAGATTTTCCCACAATGCTATGATAAGCTGTCATAGCATCAGTGCTTATTCTAAGGATCCAGTTCCATTATTGGCACAAATAACGTTTTGACCAAAGCATTTAAATCTACTGCTATGTTTTGCAAAACAAAAGCTTTATTTAGTACAGTAGTGTAAATGTCCCAAGCTAGAAAACAAATGGAAAGCTCTGTGAGGATTGTAAATGGGAAGGGAAGGGAGAATGAGAGAATCTCCTTGAATTATTGTCTGAGAGATAATGCATCTCTAGTTGGTGGGGGGGGGGGGGAGGGGAGGGGATATACTCTCTTCTGAAATAGATGTGCAAAAGTCACACTAATGCTAGAGAGCAGAAAAAGAGACCAGAAGGTGGGCCCAATCCTCCGTTCCCTCTACCTGTGGAAATGAAATGAATGAGATGGCTTGCAAGATTGGGTGCTTTAGATCTATTATCGGGCCCAGATTTCCCTCTAGACAAAATATAGCAACAGATAAGGTTGCTCATTTCATCAGGTGTCACTATGATCAAAAGACCAGTTAAAATCCAAAGCAAAAAGGCAGTCTGTGATCTATTCTGTGTTTTACCTGGACAGACTTTACAGCATTTTCCTTCTATTTTCTGAGGGTATTTGCAGGGATATTGATCCGGACAATGAATTTTCTTACATTCTTGTTTGGTGATGTTGCAGGTACACAACACACACTCTACGATTCCAAAGGCCCGGAGATTAGGATGCCACGATTCACCATGTGAATATGTTTTTCCATTTGAAACACAGACTAAAACAGGAGAGAGGAAGAAAATGAATATTCATTGTATGGTAGGGCCCCAGCAGGTCCATAGTTGAACTACAACCTCTGCCTTAGTGCTACACACTGGTTTGAGGCAATGTTGCATTCATGACATGGCTAAAGGATACACCTCTGCTTGGAAGTATATTTTTCACAAGTGATTTCTGGCCCAGCCCTTCTCGCACTGACGTTAAGTTTTGTCATTTACTTCAAAGGGAACAGGATTGAACCTTTGATCACCTTTCTCTGTGCAATTTGGTCTAAATTCTGGCCTCACTTATCTGTGAGGGTGCCCTGGTATTTCAGTGAGCGAGATGGAATGCAGAATTTGACCACTCTCCTCCAGTGGGTATCCGTTTTTGTTGGGGACCATTTACTCCCACCAATTGGCTTTTATGATCTTAGCTCCTCATGCACACCCCACTCCTCTGAACTGGCTCCTGCCTCAGAATTTCAGCCTGCAACCAGAACAATATTCTAGTTGCCCTGTGAACCTTGCTTCTTTAAACATTTCATAAACACACTGAAAAATGCAGACTAACCAAAAAAGGTGAAAGAAAGGGCACTGTTTCATTTCAAAAAGCAGTAAAAATCAAGTTTGGATTTGCTGTAAATATTTCCAATTCTTCTAATATGCCATCATTTTGTATTAATGCTTTTATTTGTAAAATATGTTCTTCTTTTGCCTGTAACTTTCAAAAGCAATTTAATTTTTATCTGTAATCTTAAATTTACATCTAACTGGTAACAGATGTGAGCAACTGGCTTATGTGTTACTAAGTTACCAAGATTTATGGTGGGTGTTCTTCATAATGTATTGTCTTTCACGGGTGTTATACCATCATTTGGTTTAATAATTTATTACTTTTTAAACCCTTTCTTAAGAGCTGTTTTCATTTTAGAAGGGGAAACAGTTTTTTCTCATAAAAGCAAATGAAGTGTTCTCTGTATACAAATCATAATGATGAGAAAGAAAAGGGAAAATTTACGTAAAACGGGATTAATTACTCTATTGTTATAATTAACCTTCTTACATGCTTTAGCAGTATATTTATACTTATGTTTATATCATTTTTTTCCTGCCAGAGAGCTCCAAATGCTTTACAAACATAAATTAAACCTCACAGCTTCTCTGTACTGTAGTCAGGGATATGTTGACTATAGATACATTATCCCAATTTTGCAGATGGATAAACTGAGGCTCAGAAAGGTTAAATAATTAGTCCAAAGTGACAGAAGAAGTCTGTAGTCACCATGAAAATAGAACCCTAGCTCCCAAATGGCCTGCTTTAACCATCTGCATAGAAATGTAATTCTGTATCCATGTAATGGCATCAAATCTGCAGGTCAGTATAACTCTTTTGTTTATTTTTAGATTTATAAAATGTATCTCAGGAAGCATGTGCATTAATTAATAACACACTCTAATTGCAGAGAACAAAAGAAAGGACATGGTCACCATTCTAATTTCCATTCCAGAGACCTCTTAGACTCTCTCTGGGCCACAAGCTCCTAAAGCTGTCACTGACACTAAACTGTGCAGAGAAATGTGCTGTTCATTTGTCTGCTTTTTATCTGCTGAAACAAATCAGTTAGAAATTGCTTTGATGATGTCTTCATGTGTGAACTGGATGTCAGAGATATTGCACTGAGTGGAGATTCCTGCTCCTAGTTTCAGCATAAAACATTGACATGATCTGAATGTGCTTTCATGGTTGTTCAGGTGGATAATAAAGATCCTATGGCCAACATTCCTTCTGTTAGTTAATACCTTAAAAGATTAGTTGGCTATAACACAAAGGCTTTTAACTCTTGGTGGGACATTCCTGAGTGTACACTACTCTGGGGTTTGTGTATAGTTGCTCTTCTATAGCGAATTCTTTTATTACTATTTGGGCCTGATCCTGTAGACCCTTATTCACTTAAAGCATACTCTACCAGCTACACAAGTAACTCCGTTGAAATGTATAGGAATTGAGTGCACTCAGCACCTTGCAGCATCATGCCCTTTTGCCAGGACATAAAATCTGCTGCCCCTTTTAAATTGGGGATTTGGTGAGTCCAACCCTTTTTTCTTAGTATAATCCTTGAGGAACATGGCTTAGTCATGCTTCTATAAAGGTTTTCCATATGAGCTTGAGGTCCTAATGTTCCCATAATGTAATAAGGCTCTCAGAGGCTTAGAGAGATATTATGTTATGTTACTGGAATGCCTCTAGCTCTCAGTGCTTTGTTTTACATATATCTTTGATATGAAGTATTGTATTGATCTCTGAAAAACAGAATAAAAGTTAAATGGGGGGTGGTGGAACTGCTGGCCCGAACACTAGGTAACAGCTTTGTTCAACACAGATGTAAAGGGGGAAGCTCCTCATCGCTCATAGGTGGGATACTTTCTACCAAGGAGATGGCTCAGTAAGTCTTGGCAGTAATGAGTCTACTGGTAACCTAGTAGGGGTTTGTCACCTGAGATTTCTGAGATAGCTTAAACACGTGCCACTTGCATTCACACAGGTTATCAAATAGGAGAAAGCATGAAGAAAATAACCAAAAGTAGATTTTTCCATTCTCTGGATGCTAGACCAATCAGTGTGTGAATTTAGCAGCAGATCCAAAGGCATTGACAGTGGTGTCAGCTGCTCACCTTCCTAGTCCCAACAGAATAAAGTGGTCTTTATATAGTGTGATACAGCATAGCCAGAAGGCGGCAGGAGAGTGATATAGGAGAGATATGTAAGTCCCAGGATGAGGAGAAGCCTTATTCCCTATAGAGGGAAGAAAGGTTTCTATAGATTAATTAAAAACACCTGAAGCCAATTAGAGCACCTGAAGTTAGTCACCAGATAAAAACCTCCTGCTTCAATCAGCCAGGGGAAGGAGTTGGAGCAGAGAGGTTTGGAGGAGTTGAAGTAGAGGAGAGTTTGGAGAAGTGCTGTGGCTGGCTAGAAGACCAAGACCCTAGGTAAAGAGACACCTGGCTTGTGCAGAGAGAGAGGGCAGGAAGCCCCACAAGCTGAAGAGCAGGAGAGGGAAGTAGCCCAGGGGAAGGAAGCACTAGTTCAAGTGGTTTACCACTATCCCTAGGGCCCCTGGGCTGGAACCTGGAGTAGAGGGTGGGTCTGGGTCCCTCCCTCTCCACTACCTTTCTCTGGGTTACTAGTGGGACAGTAAATATCCTAGTTCAGGGGCAGGAAACTGCACCCTGAACTCCTCCCCAAGAAGAGGAAGTGTGGGACCCATCATAATTGTACTGGCAATTTGCCACAATAATTTCATGCCATATAGATTCTCGAAGTTCTTTAGAAAGCAATATGGTAGTGCCCATGTGTTGCCTATGCATGGGCAAATGCAGCAGCCACTATAGGCTCAGACACAATTGCCCCCAGCCAAGATAACTCTCCTAATGTTATATCTTTGCTGTCTTACTGTACTTTTACTTTCTGACTTGCAAGGTTCAATCGTTTGCAAAGGGTCTCCCCCTTTATATACTAAAAATTCTTTGAGAGCTATAAATGGCTGAGACCCAACTCAGAGTGGTATTGCTAAAAGGACTTCTCTTTACCTCGTCCGTGCTTATGCTTGTTGTTGATGACGATCTGTACTATAGTTCCTGAGGCTTGCTGGGGGTCAGGTAGGACTCCACGGTTACTCCTGCCACTGGAAAATCGTGGAATATTGACCACCTGTCTAGTGGAGCTGGGTGACAGGTCATAATGGGAGCGATGATATGAATGCCTCTGTGTGGAGACAGAAGGAACAGGAATGTAAATATTTCATTCAAGTTAAGCAATTGGAGAGCTGAACTTTGTGTGTAAACTGTCTGTATTAAGGCTCCCTGTGCAGTCAATGTGAGTTTTGCCACTGATGTCAGTGAGGTGCTAAATCTCAAGATTCGCTTCTTCCTTGATGGAGAGAGACTCATGCAGGTGCTTGAGATTAACCTGTGTTAAACTGCAGGTATTTGACCCCAGGAGTTCTATCCTTCTGCATCCAAACTGCTTTTTACAGCATCCCTGAATATGGACCAAGTATAGTCAATACGTAAAATGATCAGATGCTGCCTGCCTTCCTGCTTCTCATATCACTGTAGATGCCAGAGCCACAGACACGCGTAAGGCCAGATGCAATCACTGTTGCTCCAGATGAGCAGTACCTTGTCAGAATCTATCTCTAAGTCCATCAGCTGGGAAGCCTTGACAGATTTGTAGGTGAAAATAGCCCTGTGCAGTGACTCTGTTTTTCAAAACAAAGCACCATGGTAATGTTGGGGGATTTTTTCCAAAAATACCCAAAAGCATGACTGAAGATTGTTTGTTAAAATAGTACTCTTACAAGGCATGTATTTATTTTGTGCTCCAAATGCTTAAAAATGCCAGGTACTCTCTCCAAATTGTGTTATAAAAATCAACGCTGCCAGACTGAATTATTGATGGTTAATCTTCACCCTGGAAGCAATAAAGCTGCATCATAGATTGATCTAGCCCCTGGAGTGAATTCGTACCCCTCAGGCATGATAACTAGTAAATAAGTGTGTTACTACTGTTGAAAAGCAGTGTTCACATGGCAGACAAACCATTTATTCAGGTATGGTATGCACAAGTATCTGATCCAAAGTCTGCAAGAGTCAGTGGGGGTCATTCCATTGGCTTTGGATCAGGCCTTAGCTGCACATGTTCGTTCAGTAAAGTGCAAGAGAATAAGTAAAATCTCTAACAAGATCCAGAGACAGCCTGAGTCATCCATGTGTGTCCTAGTGGCGATGCACACACAGGGCTAGAGTCTCCTTTGCCTTGCACCTGCGGTGGTTATTTACAAGGTGGCTGCAATATGCTACCGTTCTTGTTGGGTAGCAATCTGCACTCATTCTGTAGCAGCAGAGGTGAAAGTAAGCCAGTCCGGTGTACCGGTAAGAGCCGGTACACCGTGCCGGACCAGACCAGCTTCCCCAGGCTGGCAATTTAAAGGGCTGGGGCTCCCCGCAGTGGCAGGAGCCCTGGGCCCTTTAAAGCACCGCCCGAGCCCTGTCGCCGCTACCCTGGGGCTCCGGCAGCTGGGCTCGGGCAGCAATTTAAAGGGCCCGGAGATCCACTGCAGTAGCCCCTGGGGCTCCCAGCTCCCTCTGCACCGGCTCCCTCTACAGCTGGGAGCTCTGGGGGTGATTTAAAGGGTCTGGGGGCCCTTTAAATCTTTAAAGGCCTCGCCTTTTCTGGTTGAGGCCACTCCTTTTCCAGTTGAGGCTACGCCCCCGGCTCAGGACTCCGGTGTACCGGTAAGTCCTTGTAAGTTACTTTCACCCCTGTGTAGCAGTGCAAAGTACCTGACTAAACAAGGTGCAGAGCAATGAAGAGTCACACCCATTCGTTGGGTGTATCTTCTTATAATGTGGCATTTTGTTCTGCTGTTGTAACTATTGAATACTGGCAGATATAACAGTATCCAAACAGCTACAGCATATGAAATATGGCTTATATATTGCTAAGTATTTACTTGGTATTAGCAATGATGAATTTTCCAACATTCTTACTGCTTTACAGGCTGTTGCTGAGTCAGGGGCCACAGAAATGGATATAGAATTTTTGTCTGGCAACAAAATACACTGTGAACCACAGAAAATAAACAATGTTGCCCCTTCCTCTGGTGCTAGCTTTTTTTTTTAACAAAGGACACTAGATTTTTTTCTAACAATCATTAATTGTGGGAGATGTTAGACATCTTCTGATCACGGGCTGCCATCTCAACAGTGCATGAACCACAAATGATTTTAGAAGGAAAAATAATATAATAGTGAAAGAGGAGGAGACAGGATAGCAAAGTGGGAAAGAGGGATTATGGAAAGAACAGGCATGACAAATTGTTTTCAGTTTCCTAGGTACCAAAGTATCCTTTTGTAAGAGACATGCCCATTCTGCCCGCATGAACTCTAATTGCTCACTCTGTAGTGCCCTTGGCTCCTGAGCAGCACCTTTTAGCTCATGAGACCTGACACGTGAAGTGTACTTTATTGGTTTCAGAACATACTATGCAAGTTTGTCTAGGGGGACACCATGTTTGGAGCCCCTCTCCCGGCCAGGCCCTAATCTATCACAAGAGAATTTTTGTCTGTCATTTCTTCAAGATCATCAAAGATTTTCAGCTGGGTACAAAGAGCTAAAGGCAAACAGAGGAAGATTCAATGGAAAAAGGTATTGTCACTAGTATGAATTTTTCTGCCTGGTATTCCCGTGCCAAGGCAGAACTGGTGAAGAGTTAGAGTAATCGTCCCTTTTACTTGTGTGTGACTGGCTCGGTAGGAAAACGGGTTTTCTCATTACACAGGGCACACTTACAGCTTCTCTGTTGGCCGGTTGCCGGAAGATATCCCCATCAGAATGTTCCCATGATAATTCTCCATCTCCTGTATGTGAGATAAAACCATCAGTAATGGGAGTAATTGTGCAATGCCTTAGACATGCCTATGAGAATTCTTCTCAGCTGAATGAGACCAAAGACTGAGGCAGAGCTGTAGTGAGGTCACATTGTACTAAGACACCATTACTTCTACAAAACATATTTATTATTTGTATCACAGAAGCTCCCATCCTGGGCAAAGAATCCATCATGGAACAAAAATACAGTCCCCGAGTACAAAGAGCTTACAATCTATGTGACATTTTCCTAGTCTGCTATGAAGTATTAGCCTCAGTCAATACTAAACTACACTTATCATATAAAGAACAAAGTACATTTTTGTGTTGCTTTGTCTTTAAGGGTTTTTTCCCCTTTTTGCTTACTATCGAGTTCACAAAATTTGGTAACTTGGTGTATTTCCCAAATATTATTCTGAACCGATAAGGTTCTTTTAAAAAACATCCAACACTCTGCCACTGAAATTATTTTAAAAATAGATGCAACAGCCACTTTTAATGCATTACTCCCTGGACACACAGACAGGAGGAAGCCAGGTGCATTAACCTATATCTGGCTATATGAGAAGGACTGGCTCTAATGTCAGCCAGCAGATTCCTGTACCTGCAGCCAACAATCATGAACTGTACAGCTCTGCTTTTGACATAGACCAGTGGTTTTCAACCTGTTGTCTGTGGACACCTGGGGGTCCGCAGACTGCTTAAGATTTCCAAAGGGGTCCACAACCCCATTTGAAGATTTTTAGAGGCCCACAAATTAAAAGAAATTGAAAACCACTGATGTATACAAACAGCCAGGAGAAGGAGTACAGGTAGGTAGCCCTCTTCCCCAGGATAGGGCTCATATCATTTAGGATGCTCATAACAAAGAAGTAAACACAAGAAGGAAATGTTGACTTGTGTGTTAGAAGAATGTTTGTGGAATCAGAGATATTGTCTGAGGCCAGGAGCTCTGGAAACTCCCTAGAAGTGGGGTGGGGGCACCAGCACCCAAACCTTGGCCCAACCCCCCTGCTCTGCCTCTTCCCCCTGAGGCCCCACCTGCTGCTTGCTCATCTCTGCCCCTTCCCTCCCATTGCTCACCCTTAAGGCAGGTCAAAATGGGAAGGCATAGCCCTCCCACTTTTAAAAGTGATGGGGCCATGGTCCCCTGACCCTCCCTGTTCTGGCACCCCTGGCTGAGGCACTTGCCATTTGTGCATTGTGATGTAGGAGGAATTAAAATGCTTTAGAGAAGCAACTAGAGGAACTTCAGAGCAAGGCTTTGGCCCCTCAAAACCCAACACCATGATCTGGGGGAATTTAGAAACGTAAACGAAAAATCTCAGCTTCCATTAAAGTCTTTGTAAAGACAGCTTTAGAAATGTAAACTTCTACAAGCCAGTGTGCGCTGATCACTGGTACTGAGGGGGAACAATGGTGGAATGGAATCTGTTATATTTGAGCGGAGGGTGTGGCACCAAAACAATGCTTAGACTGGTATTTAATTGTTTAAAAACATGTAAGGATGACTTACAGGAATGGGGCAGGAGGGTTATCGGCTATGGAGATAAATTTGGAATTGAACACCCCCAAACTTTGGTGTTTAGATCTGTCTTTTATTATATGTGTTATGTAATGTAAGCTTTATATTGGCCCCAAATTTGCACCACAGAAGTCAATGGTAGCAGCATGTGCCCCCAAATCAGCTGGACTTTATGGCTTGAAGCCATGTCTAGTCAGTATAAAAAGGACTAATTTGAAAATGCAGGGGGCTTTTAAGTGTTCTGTTAATAAGTTACTAATATTCTTTGTCCTTAAAGGGAGTAGAAATTAACTAACAGATCCTTCTCCCTGAGGCTGTGCTCATATATCTTCATGCAAACAAATTGCTCAGACTTGTGCTTCATAGAATTGCAGGGGAAGGATAAATCAACATGTGTCAGATTGAAAAGGACAAGGTTAGTTAGAAAGGAAACGTTACTTTCAAGAAAGTTTTATAAATAATGAAGCATTTTAAAAACCACTATGCAAACGTGGAGAGTCTTTTCAAAGGCCATTGCAGGCTCTGAATCTCCTTTACCACAATACCTGTCTTGCCTAATGCCTCCCACATCTGGCCCTGAATTTCCTGCTTCTGATTCACTTTTTTTCTCTTAAGTGACTGTCCTCTTCTGTTTTCAATGGCTGACTTTTCCAGTGTAATCTTAGTGCACTGTGTAACTAAGGCACAATGCTTTGTGCTTTGAAACTCAGTTTGATTTTTGTAATTATAATGGGTCTGTTCCAAATCCAAGTCACCATATAAAGTAAAATTATGTGCTACCAGCCCGGGCAACTAAAAATAGCTATCAGGGAACAGAGACCAGGAACCAGATGATTAGCTAATGTTTATTTTATTGCACACTCAACATATTGAACGTTAAATGGTAATTTGTTAGATCGCCTGCCATGAGACAAAGACCATCACCTTTGCCCGTCTGAGTGAAGAAAGCTTCAAATCCAAGGTGCCTAATAAAATGTTTCTGCGTTTAGTGGCTAAAAACATAAGAAGCAGCAGCATGGGCTACTGGGTAGGGGACTGGACTGGAACTCTGGAAACCTGGGTTCTGTGCCTCATTTGTCTCTGGCTGACTTGCTGTGTTCACCAGTCTGTGCCTCAGTTTCCCCTCCCCCTCTTCTTGGCTGTATAGATTGTAAGCTCCTTAGGGCAGTATCTGTCCCTCCCTATATGTTGGTGCAGTGTCTAGTACTGTAGGCACAAATGAACTACAAATAATATAAATGCTCCTTAATTTTCCAAGTAACATTACTGAGCTCTAAGGGTCAGATAGTTAGATATGTAGACTCCTAAGAACACAGATAGGCACTTAATGGGATTTTCTAAGTGCCTAACTCCCATTGATTTCAATAGGAGTTAGGCACCTAGGCACTTCTGAAAATCCCACTAAGTGATTATTTGCATCTTTAGGCAGCTATGTACCTTTAAAAATCTAGTCCATATTCCAGTGGAGGGTGACACAGAAGCCCCAATATAAACATATAGGTAAGATACAATTATAAAGAAGGCCTCACCTGCAAAATGTAGAGGCCCAGATTTAGGGTTTTGACCTTCTCTAGAATTAAGTTCCCTGTGTGTATGTGAGGGCTGCTTTGGGATCTAAGATAGACTTGCTAATAAAATACCAGAGATACCTGAATGTAGATTGGCACTTGGGGAAATCGATTGTATCCTAAGAACTGAGTTATCTGTTTCTGTTTATGATGAGAGCAAGTCTGGGCACTTGCAGGATATATACATATTCATATTCCAAAGCTCATCTACCAGAGAGGTGGCAGATATTTTAATGTTTCAACCCATTATCGTAACATTGCTTCTGCTGTATTAATTGCTTGTTTCAATTTAGGAAAACAAAAAATGATACATCTGCTGAAATACAATGTTTAATGTCCAAACTCCCTCTGCAATGGGTGAATGTGGCACGCTTGCAGACAGTATCCTTTTGCTTACGTAGCAGATTTTACCTCTGCAAACTGGGCAGCAGGACTCCGGAACGGAAACTGGGAAAGAGCATGTTAATTTAGGGCAAGTCTTCAGGCCACAATACACGTTCCCTTCCTGCCATTAAAAACAAGGACAATTAAGAAATGGTTTCTGCATTGATTCATATGGTACTATGCATTTACATTTGGGGCTTATCTTCACTACCAGGGAGATAAATGCTGATTGATGCAGCGGGTGTCGATTTAGTCTAGTGAAGACCCGCTAAATCAACAGCAGAGCTCTTGCCTGTCGACTCCAGTACTCACCTTCTTCTTCTTTGAGAGGTGAAGTTGACGGGAGAGCGCCTCCCATTGATGCAGCGGCGTGTAGACACCACAGTAAGTTGACCTAAGCTACGTCGACTTATTATTCATGTAGCTGGAGTAGTGTAATTTAGGTCGATGTACCCCAAGTAGTGAAGACAAGCCCTTATACAGATTTGAATCTGGCTCTGTACATTTACATACGTGCCACTCTAGCATCTAGAAACAGGATATTGCACTGAAGAGTATTCCTTAATTGTCTTTCTAAAAACACAAAATATTTACAAAACATTGTACAGAATATAGTGCTCAGGAAATGTACCTAACATACCAGGAGACTCAATCCACAGGAGAGGTACAACATGGGCATTGCCACAGTGCAAGCTCCCCACTCACTGCCCCACTAATGAGTTTCAGCCTTGACCTGGAGGGACTGCATTTAGCAGTGACCCAGTAGCGTAATCTCCAAGTCCAGTCACTGGTTGACCTGTTGAGCCAGATGGCTACCGAGATGGTTCCTTAATACTAAATTTGCCGGTGACTTGATCAAATGAAGGTCCAAATATGGCCAATGTTTGTCCAGGAAGAGGTGGGTAGACTGAACCTATTTCAGTTCAGAGTGGCTCTGAACAGCCACCGGAGGGTGACAACTATTGGTCACTGCAATTAGAATTGATGACCGAGTGGGTTAAAGTTCTATGGCCCATTGTCAGTCCCATGAGCCACCCAGTTCCCGCTTGTAGGAATCTTTACTGAATTCAGAATAATTCTGGCCTCTTTTAGAGAGCCAGTGTTGAACTGTCCATAGTCTCGTTGACATAAAACTATATATACTCCAAGTAGCAATATTCTACCTGCCACCTAACTACTTTAAGTGTGTGGAGTGTGGGCTCATGTACAGAGTGTTCACAACAGGGTAGATTTTGTTTGTGTTTGGAGTAGGAGGCAGAATGGCATTTACCTGGGGCTGCATACCGGCTCTGAATATGCTTTTATATGTCACTTTTTCTCCTGACTTTCAGCCTCCACTGCCCAGGTACTACTGTACATTAGTTAAGTTTCAATAGGCTGGTCTCCTAGCAAAGAGGATCTAGCAAAGCATACAGCAGGGCTCAATGAAATTATTACTTACTGAGCAGCTGCACTGAGCACACTGGTTGGGTTGCCTATTCTGAAAAAGCCCTTCTGCCACAAACATTTCCCCGTGCTGGTAGGCAGTGCCATTGTATTCGCAGGATTTCCCAGTGATTTTACTGCTTATGGAGAAAAGTGAATCCTCTGGAACAAATGAGAAAAAAAACATTTTATTAAAAAAAAATTCACAAGTTGCTCAATAATGGGTGTTGACAACTGGGGACTTTGGGGGGCTAAATTGCATTAATAAATAAAAGAAACACTGAGTTTTTGGAACAGAAGCTTGTTTATGACTTTATTGAAAGTGGGCAAATTTAGTCATGGTACAAAACTACTCATTACAGCAATATTAAACAGCTATTTTATTTTTTTAACTTTAGAACCATATTTTAAAAAAAAAAGCTGTCTCTGTCCCTATTAATCTTTGCAGACCTATAGTCAAAATACACTAGCAGCATCGAAGGAGGTGTGTCACGGCTTTGCTAATCGCACTGTAGCGTTTGCCCACTAGTGGGATGGGTGGCCACGGTTAGAAACTGACTTAGCACGGGTTATGTTGTATGTAAGGTTTTTCTAGAGCTGGCTAAATATTTAATTCTTCGGTTCACTGGCAATTTAAAAAAAAAAAGCATCTTCAAGTTGACTCAAAAGAAAACTTAGAGGACAAGTGGGGGGAGGACGAGGGGGTATGTTCATTTCAAGTCAAATGAAATGTTTCATTTTACCTAAAATGAAACTTTTTATTTCAATTTTGAGGATTTTTAATAGTTTTTAACAATAAAATTGAAGGAAATTTCAAAACACCTTGTGATATGTTTCAATCAATCCAAATCTGTGTGTGTGTATATATTGGTGAAAACATGTTTTGAACAAAAAATCACCCAGTTCTGGTTTCTCCTTTCGGGAGAACCAATATTATTTGCATTGTGGTCGTGCCCAGGAGCCCCAGGGATGGACCAGCACCCCACTGTGCTAGGTTCTGTACAAGCACAGAACAAAGAGACAGACCCTGCCCCGAAGAGCTTACAAGCTTAGCATACGGATCCACATTAGCAAGGAAGTATAAAGAACTATGTTAGCAACCTGTGCTATAGCTTACCTTTACCTGTTTGCCTCTACATGAGGGAATAACACCGCTCTAATGCGCTGTTAGGCAAAAGCATGTTGTCTACCCTATGCAATGAAGTCATGGTAGAACTCTGCTACCAGCAAATATGCCCAAACATAGTTGTACCTTGGAAGGCTCTGTTTCCAGTGGCTTCCATGCTTGCCTTTTCCCCTAGCATTGGCCACGGCTGTCAAAGTGACACATTTCATCTGAACTGAATGCGCACAGTTTTGTTAAAGCTGATGTTTGGTTGCATGCAACCAATTTTCTGATATTCAAATTAGCCCATTATATTTGCATAGAACATCACATACAGAGCTGCTGAGAACTTGGCAGCCATGACCCAGTTCTGGGCCCTGCTGCCTCAGCTCAGCAGAGTTATTGGCCAAGTTTTCTTCTATGGCCTGGCTTCTGTGCCAACCCCACCCCAACCTCAGCTCTAGTGAAAACAGATTAGGGGCTGCTCTAACTAATGCCTGTTGACAAAATTCCCAAAGGGGTTGTCCTCCAGCTTGCGAATATCTGGAGTGTGCCATGGTCAGGGCTACAGGCTATGATTGATGTATTCCTGATGGGACTCCCTGATCTCAGAGGAATCCTCATTTAGAGAGCTGTGGGCAGTTTCTGCTCGCTCTGTGCTGCCTGAGTGGAGTGGGGCTGTGACTCTGACACTATCTATTTACATTTGTCACTCTAGAGTCCAGAAATGGGCACAGGCATTTTTAAGCAGGAGCTCCTTAGAAATAACAGTGCAGCGATTGTTCTCTGGAGCCAGAGAATCACTTCAGATTTCAAGGAATGCAGCTGACGTTTCACTTGGTGGGTTTGGGGTTTCACATAAGAGGAAACCTGAGCTGCAACATCATGTTTTGCTGTAGCATTTTAATATCTGCCAGCTCGTTTCATATAAAAACCTTTCCAAAATTAGTATGTCATCAAAGAATGTAGTTTTTTTAGCTGAGCACTCAACCAAAGGAATGAGAGTTTTTAGACGACAGGCATTGGATTTAAACTCTGATATTGAGAGTCCTCCATAAAAGAGTTTGTTTTGGCATGCTGGCATCATTGCATATTAATAATCTTTTCAACATGGGGGGGAAATTAGTAAATGTCAAATAGGAATGTACTGTGTGTACAAACCTCAACATTTTAAGGTCTGGTGTGTTAGTGCAGGACCTACTGCTATGACAAAGGGAAATGGAGGAGGAGAAGCTATGTAAGACAAAGCACTAGAGGATTTAGTGCTCTTAAATGACCCTTTGTACTTCATGTACACTGAGTATCTTTTTAGGAGATGTGTTTGCTATTTGCATTTCCACTCTGTGAAAGGCCACAGCTTGCATTTATTTCAGCTCCACAAATGGCCCCCTGTGATAATGTAAAAGCAAAAGGGAACTGCATGGCTGAAGCATGGATACTAAATCCCATGCAAACCTCCAATCTTTCTCTTTACTGATCTTTCAACATACTCAAGTTTTATGTCCTTGACACGCTTTATGATGGATGACATATATGGTTAGGTGGAAACTCCTCTTGGTCAGCAATATTCAACAGTTCAGGAGCAGAATTTTCATTTGTCCATATTTGGTACCTATTATTAATATACTTCAGACACAAAAGGTAAATCAGTCTCTTGATTGTAATTCTGAAACAGAAGAGTCTCTTCCAAAACCTGCTGCTGCTAGAAGTACTGTCTTGGTGGATGCTGATCAGCACTGGCTTCTATTTCTACTCTGGGAGATGCTGTTGCTTCCAGCTACTTGTACCATCTTAGGCCTGTGTAGGAGCATTTACAATATCTGGAGCCAAGAAATAAAACTCAGTTTCCTACCAGAAGAAAGAGAACTGCAAGTGTAGAAAATCACCAGGTTCTGTACATGTCCAGAGCATAGAAAGTGGGACCCTGCTTAATAAATAAATAAATGGAAAACAGGATCTGAATTCTCCATCACTAGCTTGCTAAGGTACTGTAAGGAAGGCAAGAAACAACTAAAACCTTAAAGTTTGAAAGGTAGATGATAATGGCTAGTGGCCTCTTTTAGAGGACTATATATGCCTCTGGCAGAAGGGACCCTCTGAGATATAGGAGAGATGTCACTGAAAAGTGGGTGTCAAACATAAGGAAAATTGTAGAACGGGGGAAGCCTATTACTGTACAGTCCACTGTACCTTTAAAATTGTTTATATTTGAAACTTTCATACAGAGTTACATCTTACATTGTAAATAACACACAGCTATGGCAAAACCCATGTTGATCCAGGAGATGTGGCACTTTGATTGTGGCACTTTGTTAATTTGTTAATGTGAATTCTGGAGTAGTTCTCTCTAATTAGACACAATCCTTGAAATTCTTAAGAATAATCACTCAAGCCAAAATTCGGTGTTGTCTCATGGTACATGGACACCAGACAAAGCACAGCCAGCAGGACTGCAGTGCAGAAGAAGGCTACTGGGGACTTTGCCTCTTCTGAAAAGTTATGCAGCAATAGCTCCAGGGGCCCTCTGCAATTGACCTCATGGTGAGCATGAAAATGTAGCTAAATGAAAATGGTCAGCATGAAAATGTAGCTAAAGCCTTCTGAGGGATAGATCCACATATTAGTAGTATACGCAGCTTTCCGTGGGGAATGAATGGCCCACATGCTTCTGATCTGAGCAGCTTTCCTGGCTATACAACAGCCCTGGCATGTAGCACTCCATGCACTTGTAACATCAACAGAATTTGCAAGAGCTGGCCCCAATCAAGATACAAGCCATGTGTTCATGTTGCCTCTGCAGCACATTGCTGTGTCCATTTGGGAAGTTGTTTTCTAGGCACCCGCCCATAGTCTGCAGTTTGCAAAAAACAATGCATGCACGAGATCCCTGTGACTTTTTCAGAGTGAAAAAGAGTGTTGGATGTAGTGAATAAATTTTACTTCAGACAACTTATATCCAGTAAGTAAGATTGCTAAATAAAATCACCATCAACCCTCAAAACATTGAATTATGGTCCCTAATTATGTTTTTTTAGGAGGTGGAAGGGACGACTTTCTTTGTAAGGTAGTTTCTTCTTCTGAAAGAAGATTGTCTCTTACATGCAGGTCTATACAACTATTGTGGAGACCCTGCAGTATCTCAGGACAGCAGCAGGTGGAGGAAATCACTCTGCAACTGACAAACCTGAAAATTGCATTGCCTCACTAGTGAGTCTAGAGACCCAAGTGCAGACTGAGGGTATGTCTACACTGGCAGAGTTACATTGCCGACAGTTACAGCACTTCTCAGAGAGCGCTGAAGGGAAACCGCTGTTGTGCGTTCACACTGTCGGCTGCCTGCGCAATCGCGTCTTCACACTTGCGGCACTTGCAGCGGTATTCAGAGCACTCTGGGCAGCCATCCCACAGAGCATCTCTTCCTCTTCTGACACTAAGAGTTGTGGGAAGGCAGAGGGGGTCGCAGGGCATCCTGGGTCCTGTCCCAATGCCCCGTGATGCATTGCTTCGCATCCCAGCAATCCCTGTACTTCTGTCTGCATTTGGCGCCATCTTTCAACGGTTTGTGTATTGCGCACTCTGCCTCTTCGGTCTGCAGGAATGGATCCCGCACTGCTGACCAATATGCTGCTCACTCTCACTAACATGTCACGACTGGCAGTGGAGTTATTCCTTAAACTACAAAGGCAAGAGGAGCTCGACATTGATCTTGTCATGTGTAGTAGCTATGACACGAGATTGTTTGTGGCATTCACGGAGGTGCTGACCACAGTGGAACGCTGCTTTTGGGCTTGGGAAACAAGCACTGAGTGTGGGATCACATCGTGGTGCATGTCTGGGATGATGAGTAGTGGCTGCAGAACTTTGGGATGAGGAAGGCCACATTCTGGGACTATGTGACGAGCTCGCCCCAGCCCTGTAGTCCAAGGACACGAGACTGAGAGTGGCCCTGTCATTGGAGAAGCGTGTGGCAATTGCACTGTGGAAGCTACTGCTACTGATCGGTTGCTAACCAGTTCAGAGGGGGAAAGTCGACCATTGGACATGTGTTGACAGAAAT